ATGTGTAGAGGCAAGCACTGATAATATGCCAAACAAACTGGGCTATTAACACACACCAGTATTGTTAGTGTTGATCCGGCATCTTCCTCCATCACTCCATTCTCAAACGGGACATAAACTGGATCTTCAAAATACTCCAACTCGATCTCATTGTCCTCAGACCATGTCAACAGTTCGCTGACCCCGTCCATGATGAATCCAAAGGTCAAGCTGTGTTTTCCACCAATTCTGATTGATGTTATATTAGGAGATTTACACAGCATCTGTGTTGCAGTATCACCTGTGCATTCCTAGAAGAAAAGTGTCAAAAATCTTTCAAAACTTGTTTGTAGTTCATTTCTCCTCAATTAAATCCACGACTCTATGCAGTAAGTCCCACACGACACCTAGTTTTTGCAATTTTTTTCTATCATTTACTTAAAGAAGAGCAACCACATAAATAAAAAAAAAGCCTTCAATTTTTCCTACCTCTTTATACGTCAAAATGTCGGCACTAACGTAAATTTGACGATACTGGCAGGTGCTCAGGAATTGACCAAATACATTCAACATCCGACCACCCCTGATAACGAGTAAACAAGATACAAAAAAGAAAAACGCGGCTCTGCAGAGAACTGTCTCATTTACAAAGTGTAAATCACAAAATCAAGGTACAGATTACACGCTGTTGATGAAATCGGCTATAACTGACAAGGAAGTAAGAAAATGGAAGCGTCCTAAAAGACAGATAAAAACGCATTTCAAATTCATTGGGACCGACTCACGAATAGATGCTCTCCAATGGATGCACCCGCGTGATGGTAGGACTTTCTGTGTAAGAGTACATCTGTGCCGACGTTCTGTTTGCCCCATCAAAGACCAAGCGCAGGTTATTTGCTACTCCAGCCTGCCCTTCGGAAGTTGTACACACTAACGCTGTCCCTGTCCTGTCACTGTTGAGAAGGAGGTTACTGTCAACCTTTTGGATCTTTGAAAACATTTTGCATTCACAAAAAGTGTTCTTTGACTGAGGACTTTGCCAGTAACTTAAATCTACCATTACTATATTCTCAAGAGATGGTGGATTTATGATTCTATTGTAACATTTTTTCCTAGTGATTCTTTTTGTCATAGTGCTAAAACTGGTGAAAGAGAGAAAACATATACAGTCACAATGACCATTATTCTAGAATTATACACTCTTTCAGCTAATTAGGAAATTTGATAAAACGAGTACAGTTCACGTTTGGCAAATAATTTGTGTATTGACAATTTGTGTATTAACAATCTTTACGGATAGTTCCCCAAAGAATGGAATGACACAGACACTGACTGCGAGATGTCTAGTTGGACTGAAAGAACAGTCATAAAAGTAGTTACGGTAACACGAAGCAAGAATGGTCTCCAATTAATCCTTCGATATGGCGTCCTGTGTCGAGGGCTTCTCCACTCACACTTAAAGCAGTTCCACCAGCGTCTGGGCCATAACGAGGCTCAAACAGCGTTATCCGCGGATCCTGGTTAAAGAATTAATTAATAACCCACTAACATGTTTTTTTTTCATCAAAGCATCATTACTAAGTTAAACTCCAATTTTGTGTATGTCGCCGATACACGAGCTGTTTTAAACAAAGCATCAACATTCAGCTTAAAGGAACACACCGTACCAATGGGGGAACAAAATAAATCCGCCGAGGCCGGTAAACATTTTTCTTGTCTGAAAAAAATAACGGCACCTACTGTGTAGCTAAAGGTGACGTTTCCAGAGCTGTTCTGCTGTTTATCATCTACCCCCATGATTGTCAAAGAGACCAACTTACTTCCTTTACTCTCAGGTCTTGTTCGGCAGCTCACACTGAAAAATAATTAATGAGGCAATCCTTTCAAAACGTGGTTAGATTATTTTCCAAGCCCATCATTACAGAAAGTGTTAATACATCAATTTCATATTAGGCCTATGTGCGTTAATTCCATAAGTCAATCTGTCTGACTCCTGTCAGAAACGAGATTATAGCTCTTACCTTTTTCCGGTCATGTAGTGCGAGCTTAGTCCATCCAGATCACAGGGCTGGTTACCAACCAGAACAGCCAAAACGTCCGCAAATCTCTGACCGATGTCAGTTCCTATTACGGCTAGGACTGTGTTGCCTTCAATCGGTCCAGTCAAAGGAAAAACCTTCATCAATATGTTTTGATAGAAGATAAAAAAGTTCACACCAGAGCAAATACAGAGAGAAACGATTAATGGGAACAAGGGTATGACACACAACAATGTATCACGAAACTAAAAGACATCCTTTCCCTGGGGGGAGAATTGGTTATTGGTGGGTCGAAAGACTCTTTCCGTTGCAGTGTTGGTAAATAAGAGACTTTGCATTTTGATCTAAAACTTTATGGATTATTATTTCATCCTACCTCAAGAAGAACTGGATTAGGACAGTTAAATCCATTATATGGATTCTCAGAATTATCACTGCAAGTTTCATTGAGCTTGCAAACACCCGACACGGTTGGCATGGTAGCACACCAGACACATCCAAGCTCTGGACGGGCCGTAACACATCGGCTGCAGTCTGGCTTCTGGACTTCACATTTGTAAAGAGTTACTGTAGGAAAAGGATCGATTATTTTAAAAACACCGCATCAGAAACCCGGAGCAGAGTATAAAAACAAAGAAAAGGGATTAGAATTTTTCATAAAAATTCTTTGATCCCGAATTTGATAAAATGACCATTACCCTTTGTCATTTGCTATAATCTTCCTTACCGTTAAACCCATACATGTCATCGAGGATATGTGCTACACCATTTGCGTCAGTCCAAGTCACAATCAGTCTCACTTTAAGCTCTGGTTCATTATCAGAAAAGTATGTGTACTGTGATGAAAATTGAAAAAAAAATGATTTAAATAAAAATATGTGAAAGAATTACATTTCATGTGAAATCAGACTACATAAGATTTCCAACAATATTAAAGTATGATGAAATTGCAAATGACTGCTTACAGCTTTCTGTCTACATGTGATTTCATCTCCATTG